TATATGCAAATTCATTTACACTGGCACGAAATTTAACATAGCCACACCTGGTCACAAAGTGCCATTCCCTTCAAGATGGTATCACCGTATGGGATCTCAAAAGGCTCTTTGCCCATGGGCTTACTTCCCTTTACGATACCAGTCTCAAAGCTGGTAGATATACTCGTCATGGCCTTTGAGATGGACATAGCAGTGCCATCCCGGACGAACTGAAACTGGTCGTGCATGTGCTCTAGACTACAGGGAGTAGTAAAGAGAAAAACAAGTAACATTAGGGAATGTGACTATGAAAAAAATAGTTTCATCGGCCGTCTCGGGGTTCGTTGTGAATCTATTCCGGACAAGAGGAATACATAGAAACCTGAGTTGATTCATCAGAGAATATTAAATCGTCCCGATTCTAAACCAGTGTCGTTAAGACTTGTTGTGCGTATATTCCTGAGTATGTATAAGGCATAGAAAGCAAAAATTCTTGCCAGTAAATGCATCCATTCGTATATTTTCGAATTTTTGCTATGATAGTGCTCGTGTATCGCAGGTGTTCTAGACGTTAAGGGCAACAGATGACATGCAAGCTCAGAATTTTAAGTCTTCAGATTATATTTATGAATATTGACCTACGAATACTGTCGGCATATCGCTTTGTTAACTCCAAAATTTAATACTGTGAGCTCATATTTTGACACAGATAACACCCCCGCCACATCACGACAGACACTAAAGTGCAGATTATAGTCACAGTAATGTATAGCATGAACCCCGTCCCGCGATGAAATACCTTAAAAGTGCTGCGACAGTGAAGCCATACGACAGATACATAACCACATATATCATCATTTAACAATGTCTCAGAGGTTACTTATAACGAAGGAAGTTGCATACCATGCTAACACGGAATCTGCACCGACACAACTACACTACGAATCAGCACCTCATTAAACCGATAAACCTCACCCTTATATACTGCAAATACTGGGCAACATACACTACAATATCAGCCCTGTCGGCATATACACATACAGCACGATACACTCAACAACACCATACCCAGCCTCGGCGCCAATAACAGCCGCCTTCGCATCCACTACACTAAGTTCTACAAATTTGGTTACGTGTTTGGTGTAACCCTTGCGCCACGACTTCTCCTTCAAAGTCTTCTCCCCTGCGATTTTGTCGATGGCACCGATTGCCGCGGCATAGGCGGCACGGCCAGCGATCTGTATAGTGACAAGAAATGCCTGGTGGTGTTAGCACAATACGGATACAGATACTTCATCATTCGTTGTATTGGCATAATACTGCTACGATCTCACTGTAAGCGAGTAGCTGTGTATCTACATGTTCTGATACTTGGCAAACCTAAGGTTGCATGCTTGATTTAACACCTCTGAGACCAGGTGTCTGTGGTGACCAGGTATCTGTGGTTGGGTCACGCCAACCAAAATAGCAAGGAAGCCGAAGGAATAATGCTCCCGTCTCCCGTATTGGGTGATAGGACTCGCACAAGGCGGTGTGTGCACCGGAAAGTATCGGTTCGTAGTACAATCAACCAATATGAGTCAATGCAACACTGCTTATTGTGCCGACATCACTTGCAGCGCGGAAGGGAGTCAGCTACAATATCATTCTGGGTATCTACGGGTTGACTTGACTTGGCCGGTACAACCACTAAGAAGATACCATATGATATCCGTGCGTAGAACATTATTACACCGCATGTGTTGTTCGTGAATGAAAACAGTATAAGTTATAATCTCCGGAACGAAGATACAGCTAACTTGAGCATAGTGACTTGAGATTGATGTGATATGTTCGATACTATGAGAAGCGACAGCCAATTGCAACAAGGACTATTCGGTAAATTTAGAGCCGCCTTGGTATTGAGACTACAGTGTGAGGTATTCACGTACCTGGGTAGAGCGACCACCTTCGCCATCCTCGGGGAACACAATCCCTTCCGGTGTCTGTTTTGCCTGCTTAGCCATTGTAATTTCGTAAATACACGTTACTTTCGAAAACTTAGTTACACATACACCGTTGATAAGCGACTGATGTATTGGTACAATGCAATCAGAATTAATATAGTATTTGAATAAACGTGTATAGGATAAAATCACAAGAGGAGCAGTAATACTAAATACCTCAACTTGGAAGTTGCATGGCGGCACTGCCTGGCCCTGCACACGAAAGTCGAGTCGTTGCAGATCTGCATTACCAGTAGGCCGGTCATAGAAACCGTCACGTGTCGTGAAAACGTTTGACACTGTATGTCGAATGAGGAACTCTTCTGTGATGTGACTGATGTCGTTGACACTCTCTTGCGTTGTTCAACCGTCTTGAGACTCTGATAAGTCTCTGAGCTTCTGACTGAAGTCTGAGAATAAAGACATGTCGCTGGGTCTAGAGTTTTCCTCGTTTTGGGTGTGGGTTCACTTTTGGCGGCGTAGATTCTGAAGACCTGTTTACATAATACTATTTAAATAGCAGTAGAATCATGTATCGAAAGAACACTACAATACATATTTATATACTATGTACATATGTATACATACGATAATCGAATGTGATACAAGGGCCTGGGGTTCATATGTATACTAACGTGACTGTGGAGCGCTATAGTCGATTAAAGTCCAGTTGAACACATTGAATAGACAAAAGAACTTTGAGTAGGCAATAATACTAACACATGGATTTAACGACCAGCATGTCGTGAATTTTTAGTACACAGACTACCTGGACAGAGTTAACTGCCCGCCTTACGCTATTACCATTAGAGGACTACGACCACATTCTACCTAAATTACAAATCAGAATATACAAGATGGGAGTGTGTAAAGTATTTATACTCGACCCCAATGATAAATCGCTCGTCGAGCTATACTCTGTCGAGAAACTTTACAGCCGAATAGGTAAGTGGAATAAATTTGATTGTTTCTCCCGCACGAAAATTAAACATCGAGGACCTTGAACATCATCTTAAGCACATATATGCACTATAAATATTATCA